TTTATTGAATTAACATTTATTCATATAGAAATAATTGATTTAGTTTTTGTTGGTTTCGAATTTTGCTGATTGTTTTCGGATGGATTATTATGAAAACCGAGGTATCACTGTACAGTACATGTAATAACAAACTAAAAGCAATCTCCATTTTTTCATGAATGACATATCTTTGTTTCTCAGATGCATTTTCGTTACTCCTTTGTCAGCTTGAGTCTTTTTGATTATATTTTTCTTAGCTAAGATTTATCTACTGTAGACCTGTTAAAGTTATTTGCCTACAATATCAGACATATTCTGCCTACTCTTTATCTTGGATATTATCTCTTGCTTAGTTTCTGCAGTGAACACAGTTCTTGACACTCCACTCTTTTTAGCTCCCATAATAATATCAGTTTTTAAATAAAAAGTTCAGAAAAGCACTTACAAAAATTCAGAGAACAGAAATTAACTAGTGCAAAAAAGATTATGTATACAACAGTGAAAGTCTCGTTCTATAAACCATGTATAGATGCCATTAAAATACAGATTTACAAATCTTAAACAGTGCGTCGCTTCTTGTGTTTGTTCTGTGAGGTATTCATTATCCAAACATAAAAATCTTTTGCAAAAGTGTTCGTTGCCTGATTTGTTTGCAGTCCAAACTGTTCGTTAACCGATCACCCACTGTATTTCATTACTTTTTCCAAACTGTATCATTATGAATTTTCATACATCACTGAAAGCTTAAATATTTTCATCAAATATGTATCTCCAAGAAAACAAACAGAGAATACATAGAACAAGAGCTAATGCAAAATTTTTATATGTGATTGACATTTTTAGAAAACTCACAAAAAAAAGGATATTGTTCACAGAGAATGTTGGCAAAGCCAAACCTGATCTATCCAAACAACCATAAAAAGATAGGTTTGATGCACAAAAATTTAGGTGCCATCACTAAATGGATAGAAAATTATCAAAGTATAAAAATAATGTAATGCAAAGATTTCAAATACAAAAAGTTTGTCAATGTACAGAAAATGCTAGGTACAGGATGTGTTTGCTTGTCCAGTTACACAAACTGGACAAGCAAACAATGATCAAGGCAGAAACATCTTCACAGTTTGCACATATCATAAATGCAAGAGTAGAACATTAATTTTATTAGCAATTTAAAGAAACTGCAACTAAGGGTGTTTTGAATGATGCAGGTCTTTCTGATGACATTTGAAGAATTACATACTGTATAAGATTTTTATCTTGGTGCCAAGAACTGGAAGTAGACAAATGACTGTAAACACAAAGTAATCTTGGTGTGAAAAGTTGATGCATGTCAGCAGTCAGCATTTTCATGGTAAAATATCTATTATGTTGGCCATAAATCTGAATTTTTGTCTGTCAACATATCTTTTTAACATCTTTCAGAAAGACCTGGTTTGATTTTGCTACCTTTGTCCCCAAACAGTGTCATTTCCTTGTCAGTTATTATTTCAGTATTAAAAACATATTACTAATTTGCTAAAGTATTACAGAAAGTCAAAATCAGTTTGTAAACAATAAGATGACAACATGCATAGTTAGTAAGAGAAGGAAATCTGTGATATGCGTCATTTCCTATAGATAAAAACAAATCCTCTGAAATCATTCAGATTATCATTATTGATTGAACCAAGTCTATTAGATATAGATCAATACAGCATATTTCAGTTTTAATTTTACAATTGCAGTTCATGAAAATTGCAAATGAGATGTTTGTAGAATTTAATTTCTACAATTAGAATTAATGATTATAGTCAGGATCTTTTGATTGAGATGTTTGTAGAATTTAATTTCTACAAATCAAAAGATCCTGACTATAATCTATATTGCATTATAATATGAGATATACTATACATTATATATATGAATCCTGTGTAATAGAACAATCTGTAGCTGATAAATGAAAAGTAGCTGTCTGAATCTTCTTCAAACATTAGTGTTTTCTATAAATTTTACATCACAGAAGAACAAGATAAATATCTTTAACTATTAAGACTTTATGATCAAGATTTAAAAACATAATTTAAGTAAACAGCTATGTTTTCTTGTCTGGAATATTTAATGTATAGGTGATAATATACACCTCCCACTACAGTAAGTAATACAGTCATAAAATTCTCTTCTTTCTTAATGAAAAGAGATATTAATCAGGCTTTGTCATATCCTTTATAATACCCTTTTTGTTTTTTTTCTTATATGGAAAGTTAAATCTTATTTTTTGAATAAGTAGAAATTTTTAATAAAAATTATTTTTGAGGATTTTTCCTTATTCTCAAATATATATTAATTTAAAAAAAAATTAAAAATCAAAAAAAGTCTTATTGTAAATTAAATAAATTTAAAACTTTGTTTGCTATACTAAATATATAACCATTTAATTTATTTTATTAATGAAAATCTACATATTGAATTAGTAATGAGAAATGATATTTTCAAAAATGTCTTTTTTTTTTTTTTAAATTTCAAAAGATCTGTTTATTCTTGTTTTTAGCCAAATTAGTTTTAAAATTTTGAAGTTTGTTTACTTTGATTTTCTAATAATTTAATAAATGGTTAACATAATTCATTATTACTATATATGGAAATTAAATCCACAATAATAAAGTGATTATAAGATGTGACCAAACTTTTATCCCTTAGGGGCTGCTTTTTTGGTAAAATATAGTCTACAGGCAACTATGAATATGGGCAAACAATTTTAGGATTTTTATATGCACATGCGTTAACATTCATTTGCATTGTTCATCAGGATAAATACAAACAGTATGGGTAAGTTGCACAGACAGTCTATTATTGTAAAAATAAATTATCAAATTAAGATTTTTAAACATTAATTTAAGTGAGAGCAAATTGTTCAACTTTAGCTTCGCGGGCTACTTTCAAAACCTTTGCGGTTGACCGGTCGACCGCAGTCTACATGTTGGCCATCCCTGGTGATTATAGTTGATTTCTGCTGAGATTTAAAAGAATGACTACATTTTTCTAAATTTTTAAGAATAAAATTGTTTTTACAGTTATTTCTTTATATATATTTCTATTGTTTTTATAATTTTGTCCTATATCATTTTGCCTTCCTTATTTTATTTTTTATATATTTCTTGTTATTTATTATATAATTTTTATTGTATTTATTTTAGTTGTAAATTTTAATTGTATTCTATTGTATTGGGTTGTTCGGAAAGTAATTTCATTTTTTTTTTTACCACTAGACAGATTAGTGGTATTTTTCCCGCCATTTTCATTCTAGACTGTATTATCATTATATATTTTGACAACTAGCATTTTAAGGCTTATTTGTAAAAAATTTTGTTTGATTTTGTGCAATTGTTTATTTTTTGTGTCCCATCAAATATGGAAGACCGAAAGCAGTATTTTTGGCATATTTTGCTCTTTTATTACCGAAAAGGTAAGAATGCTGTTCAGGCGAGAAAAAAATTGTGTGACGTGTATGGAGAAGATGTATTGACAGAACGACAGTGCCAAAACTGATTTACAAAATTTTGTTCTGGCAATTTTAACATTGAAGATGCACCACGTTCTGGATGGCCAGTTGAAGCCAATGAAAACAAAATAAAAGGTACTGGTTGAAACAAACTGCTGAATAACAACACGTGAAATCACTAAGATATTAAATTTGTCAAATTGAACTATTTATAATTACTTGAAACAAATTGGTTTCATTTCAAAGCTCCATATATGGGTTCCACATGTTCTTAAACAGAGATGCTCTTTTTGGTGGGATTTTAAGGAATTTTTTTTTGGAGCTTTTACCAGACAATTTAACAATTGATTCGAAAGTGTACTGCCATCNAAACACTAAGTTTGAGAGAAATTCAATCCAGACTTCAAATGATGCTTCAAATTGCATGTGCAGTGAAAAAAAAGCATTTGCTGTTTAAATGCCATGTATTGTGTGCCCAAGTCATCTCACACTCTTGCCATGAAAGCATCTCTTGCATTTGTGTTTTGCACATAAAGTGAAAAAGCACTCTTGTTTTCAGTGCTTTTATTCATTTTATTTTTGATGTGTTTGGTTATATACAGAATGATTCTAAATACATGCAAAAAATTTCAGGTATTGATTCTCTGAATAATTTCAACCATAAAAGTGCATAGAAACATATGTTGTAAGCATAGTTGTAATAACTGTTGAAAACGACTGCCACCAATTGGATTAATCACAATCAATGTGGTGAAGGATAGGATCCTATCCTTCATCATATTGATTGGCATGCACATTTACAAATACTAGGATTATGTCAAATTATTTCACAGGATGCAATAATGTGATTCCCTTATTCATCAAAATTTTCAGTGGAGACACATTAAACATCCTGTAACTTTAAAACTATGCTGTTTTGAACACTCATTCATTCATATCCACTTTTATGGATGAAATTATTTGAAGTGTGTGAAAGTAATGAAGTTTAATTGTTGTATATCAACAATTGAAGTAGAAAAGAAACTTATCATGAAGCATGAAAATGGTACATGTATAGTAGATCTGGCAGCCATGTTTAAGATGCTGAAGTCAAAATTGTGCAACCAGTACAGTGTGCAATTTTTATTTCATTATATATTATTTATGTATTTTATTTATTGTTTTCACGTTTTAATTTATTATTTAGGACATTTAATTGTGTTATTTTTACCTTAAATTATGAGTATTTGTTTTTTACGTTTATTGAAATGAGTATTTTTATAATCTGATAACAGATTAATTCACTTTCCATTATTTTTAAGGGAGAAATTGATCTGGACTTCAAACAATTCAGACTTTGAAAGGCCTCCTGAAACAAATTAAATTCAAAATGTGAGGCACCACTGTACAGTACATCGACAAAAATTTAACATAATTGATAAATGGCACTTAATAACATAAGTTTTCCCAATACCTGCAGGAATATAATATTTTATCTTATCTGTAAAATATCTGGAAAATTAAATGTAAATATTACAAATTCAATAAAATTTTCACTTACCTAAATGGAAATTGCTTTTTAAAACTGTATGAAGTAGTAGCTGTCATGCTAATTAATTCCAAAAGAACACCATAAAAACTGATTCCTTCACTACTTTTTGCATTGTATAATTTCAATATTTGAGGTACTTTGACTAAAATATGAAAAATGGAAAGTTTAATTAAATTAAAATCATTTAATTATAAGTATACAAATTCATGACAAATTTATTGTAATAATTCTGTAAAATTTTACTCAAAGTACTTAAATTCAGTTACACATTAAAATTTTATAAAACAGACTTAACTAACAGCAGAAAGCAATAAAATATTTAAAAAAAATCAATAAACTTAAATATAAATCAAAACATCATATTCTCTTTGATTAATGATTTGATTATTTCATACATATATATAAGTGAAATATGAAATATTAATTTATGTTTTTATATAAATAAGGATTAAAAATAGAACATGCTAAAGATAGAAAAAATAAATGAATGTTTTGATTTTACATTAATCTGCAACAATCTACAATAATAAAATTAATAATCCAACATTGAAGAGAACTACCATTCTCATGAACTAATTTTCAAGAATTATTGTTTTCTGATTTAAATAAATTTTTTCATTTAAACACATTAATGACTTAAATAATTAAAATCTGAACAATTACCATTAAAAAAATGTAAATGGATATTGTTATTTTTTCAAATAAGTTCATTTCAGATGAATTTCAAAAAATTATTTTTTGATTTGTTGTTTTCTGATTTAAAAAATTTTAACATTTTTACACATTTAAAAAATATCCATAATTTTACTTTGTTATACATTCTCATACACATGCATTTAAGCTAAATAAAATATTCCTAAGATGCTAAAAATATCCCGCTTTTGTTGTATAAAAATAAACAATTTCTTGGTTATGTTTATTATATTATTTATTTTAATTCATTGTTATTTATTTTATTTCACATATTCTCTTCTGTTTTCCATGGATGCCCAACATGGACATCCATGAGGAGGGAAAAGAGGCACCTGCCCCTCCCTGTGATCAAGTAAAAAATTCCACAAAATGTAATTGTAAAAGTGATTGAGGTATATAACCTTTTACCTTGACAATGAGATGCTTTCATGTAATATTATATTCTATAATCTACTTGTGAAAAATCCCCAACAATTAAATAATTATATCATTGTAATATTTTGAAGAAATTTATAATGGCTGCTGCCAGGGTCACTAAGATCCAAATAGTAGTATTTTTTATATATATATACAATGATTTAGAAACTAAATCACTATGGCAGACTTTATATCATAACCTACCATAGAAATCATATAATAGGAAAACCTACTTGTGTTCCAATTAAGACTATCAAACCGTAAATCCAGGTTTGTCTTATAACCATATCTGTTTTAATCAGTAGGTAAAGTTCTGTTGGCAAAATAAATTTTTACTTGTTTTGCATTTCGGGATTAAACATCCCCTCATCGGGTTACAAAAATACATGAAATATATTCAACATTAGCAATTTTAAAATGAATGAAATAAAAATTAAACTGTAAACAGGGAACACTCCAGTTTTTATATATATACCTCTCACTAATATAATACATTCGTCAAACCATTTTGAGGAGTGTACTATGTGTGTTTAATTTTTATTATATTTATCACTTTGTCATTTTAAAATTGCTAATGTCAAATATATTTTGTCAATAGAACTTTATCTTATGATTAAAACAAACATGGTTATATAACAAACCTGGGTTTACTGTTTGATAAGTCTTAATTGGAACACCAGTATGTTTTCTAAATTTATAAGATAGTATTTTTTAATTCATAACTATTTCTGCTCCTACTATCACATGATAAACACAATTTTGGCCTATTAGACACAACACTTGTTCACATGTTACATTCACTCATCGAAAGTTTTGTCTTTTATACATACTATATTGAAATTGTTATAAGTTTTTTGGCTTATTATTATTACAGTAGAACCTCGAAAACTCGGCCCTCGATAACCCGGCACTCCGGATAACTCGTCCACACCCTGGCAGGGCAAAAAAATCCTTAGTTAATTAATTTTCATTATAGACAGCTTTATAAAAGTATAAAAGCTCTCATAAAGTATTTTTCTGAGGTCTGTCTTATCAGGTAAATTACTGTACACAGTGTATTCATTAATTTTCATTTTCATGTAGTAAAGTACGTAGCCTTCATAAAGTACGTAGTTTTCCTTTGTTTAAGGGTATTTGGGCAGTTTATTCTCTGTTATATTCTCAAGTAAACAATACATACAAGTACAGTACAGTATTTTCTGAGGAAACACTCGTACTTATTTTTTTTAACCCCATTCCCGATAACCCGGCATTTTCACAAACTCGGCCACCCTTCGGTCCACATTAGGCCGAGTTTACGAGGTTCTACTGTACCATTTTCTTTTGTTTTACAATGATAAACAATCTACTATTTCAAGGAAATAGATATATTTGTTTAGCCAATTGTGTCAAATCATTTTACTGAATCTATAGCTATAAATGAAAATGTTTGTTTGTTCACTGCAAACCTAGGTCGTTTGACAAATTGCTACAAAAGTCAGCAGTTCCATTAATTAACATACTACTAACTTAGATAATATCGTACATACCACTCCAAAATATTTATTGAATTTACATGTAGTGCCATCTATTGGAGCAAAACTTTAAAAAAATAATAAACTAAATATAATTCACACAATAAAGCATATAATTAAAAAACCAAATATTATATTCACTTAATAATTGCAACAATGATATAGCACAAAGTTTTTCACACTATGAAACTATGAGCACTAAGTTTTGGCTCTCTGGAGGACTTATCACACACTATTGATGTTGTCCAATAAGTCAATAGTGTGTGATAAGTCCTCTATAGAGCCAAAACTAAGTGTTCATAGTTTCATATTGTAACATAAGGACAAAAAGCAATTCACCAATCTAGACACACTATATTATTATTTTGATGAGTAGCACATGGTACTTACCTGTGTGGAGTCAAAACTGTTACACTATTTACAGTTTCCTATAAAACTCATCCCGAGAGGCACCCCGTTGGCAGACTGCCCATGTGTCGCATTGCCGTGACCAAATAAACCAAATTAATTGTAATAATTTTTCTATAAACTTGCTATTTACAAGGACATACTTCCCACGTAATTTATAGACATTCTTATAATGTTCTTAAAATGGTTTTACCACATATATTTTTGAAATTTACATTAATAATGCCAAGTATAAAATTATTGTAAGGAGTACTTTATAAACACGGGTGAAGCTGGGCATAACAAGCTAATAAATATTGTGTTGATTGCTCTTTTAACTAATATAAATAAATACTAATTGTATGACATTTTAGTATTTTTTAACTCCTAATGCTTTGAAATAATGATTGTGATTATGAGTTCCCTAGACCCAACTCATATGCTAAAGAATCATTTCTTCACCCACAGGTTAAAGGGTTAAATTTATAAAAATTCATATTAAATCCATAAACTTAATATAATGATGTAACTGTATAAATATAATATAAATTAAAACATATAACATACCTAGAGTAGAGGCAGCTACAATTCCAGAACCAAGGAGTTTGGATATAATAATTTTCAGACAGTCCACTATAAAAATATTAAAATATAACCTTTTTTACATAATCATTTATTCATATGATTTATTTTTATTAAATCAACACACAGACACACACATGTATATATATTAAAATTTAAAATTGATTATATTCTATATTAAAATTTTTTAATATTTCAAACTTCAAGAAATTACATTATATTGATATATCTGACTGTATAATGTTATAGCAATGACTACATATTAAGAAAAATAAATAGCCTGAAATATAGACATAACTACAAATAAGGTTAGTTGTGAGGAAATCCATAGAGATGTGTGGTCTCTGTTCTTTTTGTAAAGAAATAAATATAATCACAGAGACAGCTATGCTCTATGGGTTTCATCACAACCTAGTACAAATGAAATCAGGCACAAGCAACAAAACACCAGCATTGTGATAAAAATAATAAAAGGTTATTTCCACTAGACTGGGAGTCTCCCGAATCCTTCGCAAACATCTAAGCAAAAGTGATGTGGAAGTAGTGATTATAAGATCACCCAATGATATATGACAAGATTAAAAATGTAAAAGAACTAATACCAAAAGGTGCAACAAAGTGGCATCTCTTAAACCCCAATCAGAACAGATGACAGGACAGAGTACTGGCAGCACATATTGCACACTTAAGATAGAATGTCTGAGTATAAAGACAATCTCAAATGGGGGAAATTATCTACAGCACTAAAGGAACAGAAAAGAAAGATGCTCTCAATAAAAAGATGCCACAATTCTGATAAAAAATACAAGATATTTGCCATTTGAATGACTGAGTTGATCACTACATCACTACCAATCCCAAATTTCTAGTCATAAATAAAAAAAAATGAAGGAAACAAACTAAATCCTTGGGTAGGTCTTATTTCTTCCCTAGTCGTGAGCCTGCCCCTGAAAATGAGCCTCCAGATTAAGCTTTTCACCAAGTCTTGCTATTTATACCATACAAATTTCCAACTTTCACTTTTAATACTTTTAAATGTCTGTGCATACTTCCAAATTAGCTGTTTTTATTTACTGTTATTTTAGTCTTATTTGTATGCTTTTTACCATTTTTTGTTGATATGTTATCTTATCTGACTTCTATTTTAGTCTTTTTTATTGCTGTTTCTTAGTTTATACACTGATAATATTATTTCATCTTTATTATAATTTTTGTATTTACCTCAAAAATTGTTAATTTAAAAATATCTGTTAAGTTGTTAAAGAAATATTTGAATTTGTATTGTTGCTTAGAATCAAAAAGTTATGTATGAACAGTCCTATTTGAATTGTCAGAAAATTGAATGTTGTTGATCTGTAGATGGGATTGAAAATCCCAAAAAGTGTTGAATCTGAATAAATATCCTCAACTCCTTTAAATATTTAAAAAAATAATAAAAATTCAACAATGTTTAATGTTTGAATATTTTTGTTTTATTTCCATTAGTATTTGTAAACATTCAATTTTTGGAAAAGTGACTTGTTGAAGGTAATTAAATAACTTCATCAGGTATTTTCAGTTTAATAAATGTTTTTTACTACTCTAAAAGATTATATGTAATTGATTGAGTGATCTACTTTGAATTTTATTGCTTCTATACACTTATTTTCAAATAATATCAATTTAAAATAGTCGACTAGTTTTCAAAGATTAACCATTAGGCTATTAATTTATCTTGCGCTTCAATATTCTTCCAGCAATTATTTTCTAAAAAAAAAATAATATATATATTTTTTAAATATTTAGTTTATATATAGGGTGTCCCAAAAGTAACACAGGACTTAAATTTTAAAAAGAACATATTATTTATTCATTAATTGGCAAAGTTATTACATCATTTTAAAGGATAAACATTGCAATTAAATATGGAATAGAATATCTGACAAACACCCTCATGACACATTCTTTTGACACAATTTTCAATTACATTTTTGCACAATTGCATCACATTTTCATTGATAACTTTTCAAATTTCTGCTTTCAATTCAGGAATTGTTCTTATTTTAGTGGCATAAACTTTGAACTTCACAAATTCCAGAGAAAAAAAGTTGCATGGTGTTAGATTGCATGATTTTGGTGGCCAATTCTAATCACTGTTGTTTGAGATGAATTGCCCAAGAAACTTCTGCCCCCACAACTTGGTTGTTTTGTATGCCATATGACAGGTGGCACCATCCTGCATGTCACTCAAATCCATGCTGTCCAAATGTGGCCACAAAAATTCCGATATCATCTCATGATAATGCACACCATTCACAGTAACTGCATTTTCAGCCTCATTTTCAAAAAGAAAAAAAATATAGCTGAAAATTTTTCCAAACACTCCATTAGTCCAAAATTCACACAAGACTGTCATTCATTGGGCAAGCATCAGTTCTTTGCACAGTCATTTCAATTGGCATATTCCCCAACCAAAACTGCAATGTAATTTGCACACAGTCATAGCAAAACTTTCTTTGTACTTGTAACAAGTTTTGATAAATCATTAAGTGCTCCTCCATTGTGTATCACTCCATATTAACTAACTGCAATATGTTTACTACAAGATGTCACTTCATATGGCATTGCCAATCCAATGTGAGAAAAATGGCACAAAATTTAAATCCTGCATTAATTTTGGGACACCATTTATGTATATAAACTAAATACTTTTGGCTTCTTCATTGACCCTCTTCAGGTATACAAGCAGAAAAAGGAATTCAAAAGCGTTTCCAAAAATTTGGTAGAATTTTATTGTAGCTAATGATGTTGGAGTGTTCTATACATTCGGAAATTTAAACTGGCAGATATCCAATAAAATTTGAATGTATAGAACAAATTTCCAAATGTATAGAACATTTCAATGTTGTTAGCTACATTAAAATTCTACAACATTTTTGGAAACTCTTTTGAATTCCTTTTTCTGAAGAGAGCTGATGAAGAGGCCGAAAATATTTGTTTTTTAAGAAATAATTAACGAAAGTAGTATTGAAGTGCTAGGTAAATTATTAGTTATCTTAATAGAATAGCCCATACATAGTTTTTGTGAATAGTCAAAGTCATTATCTGAATGCCCGAATCAGTATGAATGTTTGCAACAATCTCAAGGCAGTGCTGCCAGATGCAAGAAAATAAAATTTGAAGTTCTTTCAAAAAATTAAAAATAGGACATAATTCCATATATGCTATACAGTGTTATTATCCAGATGATGATCACTGATCTAAACTAAATTCATAGGCCGTTGATAGTTTGGGGGTCATCTTATAGGACAGATATATGCCAAAACTATAAAACTTCGACAAAAATTTATACATTGTCTTATCTGTGCAGATATACGGTAATATCAGCAGAGTCAACCTTTCCTCAGATTCTTCTTTGCTTAAAAATATATAAATTGATTAAAAGACCCTATGGCACTGGATTCTTGTAAAAATATTTCTTGAAAAAATTTTAAAAAGTTATCTCATTTCCAGCTTCTGTGAATGTACTAGACTATTAGCTGATATTAATGGTCCATAGATCTACATCAACTAAATACAGAACTGACACAATGGGTTCATCTTGAGTTGATAATATGTCCAATTAGTACAATATTATAAAAATTTCAAATTAGTTCATAGTTGTCTGGAAACACTTACATTGTTTTACTTTCTACAACCATCTTTCTGTTTAAAAGGTTTGTAAAATGCAATGATAAAATTATATGATGTTATAAATACTTATTTTGATTTTTGTAATTGAATATTTTATATTAAATAAACTAAATCCAGTTTGAGTTACCACAATTTACCTTTTTTATTATTTATAATTTTAGGATGGTCATCAATTTTTATAGGTAGGTAAAACTTTTCTTACCTTTTTGATACTATGTATATATTAGAATATTTGGTACTATTCTGTTAACTGAATGCCATTCAATTGACGACACATGAATTGTGTTAACTTCACAAAATTGTATTGAATTCACAATAAACAGCTTTTGCAGTGATTTTGAATTCAAAGCTAACCTTTCTACTAATAACATGTAAAATTTATAAAAGTCTATTATGTTTTTAAACAACACTAGTTAGAACCAGTTAATCCTGGCAAATGATTAGCATATTTACACAATAACACCATTGTAGTTGTGAAATTTTATATATTCTTGTTATTTTTCTGCATATCTAAAGTTAGATCTATAATTCATTATGGATATATGGATATTGAAGTTAAATAATGCTTAAAAATTAAAAATTTACAGGTTTTTATTTATTTTTTTTAATATTACCTTGTATAGTGCCAGTCCTCATATCTGCGACATTAATTATGATATGATTATGTAAATTAGGTCTATCGATAGGCATTATGTGTCTCCAAGTAGCACACTACTTTGATGTGTTGAATGTGTTTAGATAATTTTCTTCTTCACTTCATGTTTTGTTTCTGACTTACAATGAATCCATTGTATTTTTGTACACTGTTAGATTTTCCAAATGATGAGGAAAGTGCAATATGTTTTATTCGAGAAAAAGGTACTTTGCACAGCAAAAGGTACTATTCAAAAATCATCCAATGACTGTATTTTTGCTCCTCTGATGTCCCAAGATGGAGATGCAATACCTGCTCTGCCAAAATATTGATGAGGGAATTACAAAACAACATTAAGGAAGGAACAAAAAAAAAAATGCGAAATGAAACACTGTTTTTTTCTAAAAAAGGAATAAAAATGATTGGCGCCCAGAAGAGAAGAGTAGCCTACCGAATATTTCAATGGTAAATTTTAATCTTTAAATAACTTTTTCAACTTCTTTTTCAAATTAATAGTCATTGTAAAAATAAATTTAGAATTACCAGACAGGTCATTTATTAAGTAAAGAGGAATCTCATTTGAGAAGAAAGGTTCTAATTAGAAAGATCAGAAATACCTAGTTATTATATGAATGTAAATTATAACAATTATAAATTTATTACAGTAAGAATCCATTTCATTTAAATTGCTTTGTAATATTAATATTATAAAACAAAATCAGTTTTTACCAAATTAAAATAAATATTTGTCAACAAATACAAACTTAGAAAGTAAACATCTTTGCAATTTTTCCTTCATTAACAGCAAAAAAATTAAAGGAAACTAAAATGTTTATTTCTTAAATTTTTTAAAAATATACAGTACTGTATGTAGTGACTAATTCAAATAGTTCTGAACTGAAAAATAAACACAGATTATCTTATCTCTCTTTATGCAAGTTTATTTAATATATATAAGTAATGGATCCAGAAGTACTTGAATAAGTCTAACTTGAAAATGAAAAGTATTTGAATAATTACTATACTTTTTATTAGCATGTGCACAGGAGAAAATACAAACATCACAAATTTTAGGAATAAAGAACTAGTCAGAGTGTGTACAATTCTATTGTGGATAGTGCAATAAATGTTTTTAAAAACATTTTGTGGTTTGAACAAATAAATTTTAATTTTTTTTTGTATCAATAGAAAGGGCTTAAGACCATGTAGCTCCCTTGTATGGATATATATTATACAATTTAGCATCAATGGATCAAGTTACAAAATTATCAGTATAATTTTAATTTATAGCAATGTTCAAAATCTGAATAATTTTATTATTTTAAATTATATAATTCTGAATCAATATAATACAAAAACTTATATTATGGTACTGCTTTACTAAGTATGTTATATATTATTTATACAAAGTTCTCAACCGTATGTGTTTTGCGTGGACAGTCCACTTTTAAAAGGTTCTGTTCACGTGTCTGCTGTGCTTGGCATTTGTCCATTTTTTTTACCAATAATTCCAATTTCAACTTTCTTACAATTATTGCTTTTTGGATAATTTTTTCATATACAGTAAAACTTCTCTAACTGAAAGCTCCAAGGGGCAGAAAAAACTTTGAGCTACAGACGATTCAAGTCAGAGAACAATAGAATAAAAAATGCCACTTCTGAATAGATTTGTACTTTCATTATATAAAGAATCTTTAATAGCATTTTTTTTTTTGTTTTAAACATGTGTAATGCCTTTCAGTAAACTGTTTAATGTAACTAATGGAATTGAATATATCTTGGTGAGATAAAATAAGAGGACCTCTTGCTTTGAATTGGAACATTGTCTGAAGATTGGTGTTGGAGAGTAGATAGAACTAATAGTCTGAATATTTCAAGGAAATCTCATAATTAGGATCACTCTGGATAGAATAAATATTTATATTCGAGTCAGGAAAGTTGAACATAAAACAGTGGGGCCACAAAAAACTTCGACTCTGAGACAGTTAGAGTTAAAAATTCAGGTCGGAGATGTTAAATACCTATGCTATTATATCAAGACCTCCAAGTGCTTCATTTTCTTTGCATTAAAGAAACATTTGAGTTAGAGAAGTTTTACTGTATATGAATCCACTAATCCTTTTTTTCTTGTTGTTATTGTTAATTGTCAATATTCTTCAGAGTGCTGTATTTATTTATTTGTGTACTTTATTTTTTTCCTCAGCTGTTGAAGAAAGCAAAAGAAAAAATATACAAAACACTTTTGAAGGATTTTTTAAACAAAGGAATAATGTTTACGAAAACCTGTTTACACAATCACACAAGAAGAATCAATGATCTGACGACCCCACTTGGGAGTCTTATTTAGGGAATATTATTTAGTCGCTGTTCTACACTACACTAGTATGAGTGCAAAATGATTAAAAGTACAAAACATGTGATAAAATAATCTTATACCATATTTAACAATTTATATTATCATTTCTGTATACATTGCACTTGAGAATTCAATCAAAATTATCAAAACAGTTATACTTTAATTAAAATTTTGGCTGTCAGCTTTTTTTGGGCAATGATATCAGCTCTTTTCAAAATCACGTTTATGTATGTGTTTATAACTTTGTGTATATGTGTGTGTGTTCAGACACATACAGTGTTATGTAAACATATATTTTATATAGTAATAATATACTCTATTCTTACTAATAACAAAATAAAAAATCATTTAAACTTTCTTAACCCATACCATTGGAAATGTCGCCTGAAGATAAATGTTTCAGACATTGTGCAGGAACTAAAGAGGATAGAAGATCTTCGACGTATATCGCCATAGGAACGATATAATCAACATATGATCACGCTATTCGTTTACGCAAGCGCATTTCAGTTTTGACCGCGAGTAGCCGGGCTCCCTCTTTGTGCTCCAATAAAAAAAAAAGCCGATCATATTTAGAATATAAATAATTTATATTGAAATATAGTTATGTTTAAATCATTATAAAATCTAGAAAGAATTAATATAACTTTGTATTCTGCATTGAATTTATTTTCTATATTTATTATTATTATACAAGATTACATATCAATACACTATTTTTCCTGGACGCTCTATCCCGGCATATGTCGGGCCCCGTCCCTCATCACCCGATCGCCCCATTGTGGGCCTGGCCGAACCCATAATGGGCTTGCTAAAAGAGGCCCTCTTAGTGCCCACAGGGTAAAGAGAGTTAAAAAATATATATATACTGTATACATAAATTGGCACATGTTTAATTTTGTTAGTCACGAGTTTTAAGTTACGAAAGTGTTTTATGTTTTTTTCTCAATACAGTTTGTTTGTTTTAGTTATGGCAACGCAACACTTGGGCGATCTGCCTAGAGGGATGCCTTCCGGGAGGTCTTTTTAAGGGTAACTGGCCCCTATTTAGGCGTTACAGACGTGGAAAAACCCCGGAAAACTCCACGTGGCCAGCCCGTCCGAGCGAAGTGTTAACCCATAACTGAACTCCTAGTGTTCAGGGAACGAAGACCGCTTGGCCACTGGTGGGCCGTTTTATTTCATCTTTCGATTTCTAGGGAAATTCGTTTTCATTCTACGGGGAGCTGCTGCAAGATATATATATGTGTATGTATACGTACTGTACTGTATATATAAGTCGGGGAAACGTGGATAGACCTAATAGAACTCGGTTTCAACTCTTATGAATCAATAATTAAAAGGAATTTCAACTTCTTTTTC